TCCTCTGGCTTCACTGCCGCCAGTGTGCAGAGCCACCCCCAGGCTGTTCAGTTGCACCACTGTGGGCTTGCACAAGCTTCTTTTGGTCCTGTCTGGCACTGCTGGTGCACGAATATGCTCCCCGTCCCTTCTGGCACTGCCATCTCTGGCACATACAGCCACTCTTCCACTACTGGGCCGGTGTGTCAGAGTCCGTGCTAGTTGGAGGAATGACTGGCAGGCTGCTTAGATCCGTGAGGGGCTTCAGAGCTGCACCTCCTCCCCGGGGTATAGGGTGCCTAAGTTTCCGCGGCATTCCCAGCTGCTGGGACAATTTCTTCCAGCTATGTGGTCCCTGTCTCTTTAAGATTTGCAGAAAGCACTCGTTCTTCTGTTGTCTCAGGGTTGCTGGTGCGGGGACCTGCCCACAGGTTTTGCTTTTCTGTTTCTCTTATATCCAGCACTCCGGGCACCTTGTGTCTGTATTCCGGGTGCGGAATTCTAGAGCTGATTGTTTAGCAGTCCTGGGCTTTCACTCCCTCCCCATTCTGACTCCTTTCTTCCCGCCAGATTTTGGGGTGGGGGAGTGTTCGGGTTCCGCCTGGCCGGGGCTTGTATCTTACCCCCTTCATGTGATGTTGAGTTCTCACAGATGTAGATGTATCCTGGCTGTTGTACTGCATCCACTGGTATCTCTTTCAGGAATAGTTGTATTTATTATATTTTCTTAAATATATGTGTTTTGGGGAGGAGATTTTCTCTGAACTACTCATGCTGCCATCTTCCTGTGATCTTAATGTTAGTATTTATTAAAGAAGGATTCCTTTAATTATTATTATCCATTTATCTTCTTAATATTCTTTGGATACTTCAGTAAAAACCAATAATTTTAAATAATCCCATGTAAAATGTTTTAGCAAGTTTAATAATTTATAAATCATAAATCAGAGGTAGGGCCAGGAAATCAGCAGTCCATGTATGTATTTTGTTTGGTCCTCCTAATGTTGACATTCTCAGGATTAAATAATTATCAAATAAACTTTTTATCAACATTTATACATTTATACTTTGTTCTAACTCACCTAAAAAATGTGTTCTTCTTTTCCAACCACACTGGCCTCCTTTTTTATTGGAACATGCCATGTTCACTCACTCTCTTGGGTCTTTGCACTGGCTTTTCCCTCTGCTTGGAATGATCTTCCCCTGATTATTTTCACTGTCAACTCTGTCACTGCCTTCAAGTCTTTGGTCAGATGTCACCTAGGGCTAATCACACCACTATATGTAAAATTTCACAACCATGCCCCACAGCACTCTCTTCTTGCCCAATATGTTCCTAGTCCCACTTACTTTGCTCTTTTTCTTTGTTTTCATAGCAGTTTTTGTCTTTTAACATTTCATGTGATTTACTTATTAGGATGTTTGTTTTCTGTTTGCTTCTTAGTATGTCTCAGGCAGGCAGAACAGTGCCTGGTAAATTAGGATGATCAGTATGTTTTAGTTGAATGACTCAATGAGAAACCCAAATATTTGGATCCTTTTTCTGCTTGTATTTTTCTTATAGGAGCCAAGAGAAATGTTAATTATGTCTTGTACTCATGTCTTCACCAAAAGAGGAAACATAGGATTTAGAAAGAACGATAAAGTTCCATGTTTTCTACAAAAAGGGGGAGAACATAATTCTATATTTATGTGAAAAATTTGTCTATGTATTAAGTTTATAAAATCTTTATCATTCTGTGCCCACCTACATAATTAATTTGAATTATTTTCCTGATGCCTGGGTTCTGAAGGCTGACTTTGCTCTACACAGAACAGCAGCCTTATTTAAAATTCAAAGATAAGAAGTGTCACTGAAGCGTGCATGAACAAAAAGGAGAGAAATATTGCAGAAGATCATATTAATAACAAGTACCCTGAGTTATAGAGTAAAAGTTGTTTTACTGTGGAGCCTCATAACTCACCAAGCCACAAGCAGATTATCCTTATGGATTTCCACAGAGAGTGAAAACTTAAATTAGCTAAGATAGTACCACTTTAGGCATAGGCTCGCTTTTATAACAGGACATGTACAACAGAGTTGGGGCAGAAGTAATAGACATGTCTCCTTAGCTATTAATGTAAATAGCTTAACCTTGTTGTAAAAAAGTTTTGCATTGCCTTTGAGAAGTGGAAGCAAATGAAACCAGTGAGGAGAGATGTCAGTAATTAGCCACACATTCTGTCCACAAAACCAATCATAAAATCTTTGACATGTACACAGTAGTGCCATAACTCAAGTAGGTGAAAGTATGAATTGCTGACTTAGGAAATCTGTTGAAAACAGGGCCACATTTTGCAAAAGCTACTCCATTCATTGACTTTTGTGTAAAGCCTTATCTAGGACTGCCGCAGTGCCTGACACTGACAGACATAGTCACTTGTGCCATTATTATAGTGCACTTCTCTGAACCTTCATGTGCTTGCTGCTTCCTGTCTCCATTTCATTTACCCTCCTTTTGAATATTTTTGACTTTTCAACACTTTTATGTGATTATAATAGTGTTAAAAGTTATTGCCTAGGATTATTTACATGTAATAAATAATTATGCTTTTTAGATATTTGCATTATTGCATAACAAGCTTTATCAGAATGAAAAATAGGGTGACTTAATTTTTTATTAAATTACAATTATTAATTTAACATCATTAAAGTCAGGATAAGAAAGCTGAGCTAAGTGTTGCAATTTCAATTATAAAATTGTATGCTTATTCTTCATTTTGGAATCCTGCCAACTGGAGAATATATGAGACAGTGAATGCAACTGGACAAGGCATCCAACTCAGTAATTTCTGTGTCTTCAGCCAAATTTAACCTTTTTACAACTTACTCTTGGTCTCTGCTTTATACAGATTACACTGTTTATTTTAAATGAACATTATAATGAGAAGGGTATAATCTAAAAGTCATTGATATCCTCATGTCTGTCAATTGTAGTTTATGTGTTGCTAATGAGAGAACTTAATAAAGGCTTGGAAAGTCTTCATTTATTTTCAAATATAATTCCTAGTGGAGAATTGTCTTACTTTACAAACCTAAATAGATTATGTCCTTTACTAGCAAATGTTCGATTCATTGATTTTTGTTATCTTTCAATTAATTGCTTAACATTTTTGTGTCAAGTGGAATTAAAAAGATGTTATAGCCATTTTCTGACGATAGTGAGCTGACCTGTTTTAAAACTTTTTGGGAAATAGCTATATTTTAATAGCTACACTATAACTAGATACTGTATGAGCGACCCCATGACCTCCTTCAATTCTGCTTTCATTTTGATTAGAATCTGTTTAGCCTCCTGGGGACTATGGGAGCCATCAGGGTGGCTTCCAGAGAAACAGAAGAATAAGCAACCCAGCTGTGCTTGAAAATGTAGAGATGAATACAAAATAAAATTATTAAAAGCATATTTAATTAGTTACTATTAATACTGTGACATATTTTCTTCTATACCTATTCATATGGAGAGTTACATCATACAAATGCCCTCTGTATTCTGTGGATGCTTTTCTATGTCCATAAATATTCTTTGTGAATATAATTAATAGCTTAATACTGTCCTATCACCTGGGAGCATGGTATTATACAATTCAATTAACTGATTTCTTTTTAGTAGAATTTAGGGGTTTTAAGAACTTTACTATAATAAATAATGATCCATAATACCTTTCTGTCTAGCACATTGGTCTGAATATTTTCCAAGAATACGTTTTTAGAAATAGACTTACTTGATAGAAGGCATTTGGTCATTTTTAATGTATTTGATACATATGGCCAAATTTCCTTCCAGAAAATTTATATCAATTTATATTACTACTCATAGTATATGAGTACCTGTATAAATTCACCTTACCAATTTTCTCATTTAAAAATATAGTTTACCAATTTGCAAATGAATAACATCTCATCTGTTCTTTTAATTTCTATTCATTTAGTTATTAGACTGAATCTTCTTACATGTTTCTGACTACTTTGTGGGTGACTTGTGTATACATAGTCTTAGTGCCTTTTTCTTCTAAATAGTTTAGTTTGTTATAATTGATTTTAAAATCTTTTTATATGTAATTATATTACCTTTACCATACACACATTTTGCTTATAGTTTTCCTTTTATTTTATGTTTATAAAACTATGTAGTCAAATACAACCGTCTTTTACTTCACAATTTCTTCCTTAGTATTATGCTCAGAAAGGGTTTCCATATTCCAAGATCATATAAACATTTATTTATATGTCCTTTCTGTTTCTTTTATTATTTATTTATTTATTTGTTTGTTTTAACATTGAGCTCTAATCTATCTGGAATTAATTTGGGAGCAGAATAAGATGCATTTTTTCTACCTTTTCTTCCCAAATAGTTAAACCAATTTTCACTTTTATTGAATAATTCATATCGAGTCTTCTGGAGACTTCTGCCATCAAAAATGTAGACTTACATCTCAAAGGACGCCAACAATGTGGGGAATCTCACCAGAGACAAAGATCTGCATTAAAAATCAGCATGCTCTTGTATAGAAGGTCCTAATATAGGACCTTATTGGCATAGTTAAGATAATGTTTTTAATAGATCTGGTTGTGGTATTTTATGGCCTGTAGTTGATTAGAAAAGGTTGGAAAAGGGACCAAGAAAAGGGCAGAAATTTCCATAATTATCATAATTAGAAGACAGAAAAACTAAAAAGTAAATGCAGTTGTATTACTCAGTGATGGTGTTCATAATGATTACGAGCCATTAAGAAAAAAGGTTTCATTATCTTTACTCTTTTCTGTTTAAGAAGACCATTAATGAAAAAGAAAAAGGTTTCAGACAACAGGCCTTGATGAAAGAGCTAGCAAAGAATATAATATAATTAAAAGGATTTTGGAGTCAAAATAACATAGATTTTAATTTGAGTTTCTCCACTGAACAAACCCATGACAGGGAAAGGGATCAAATTATTTTAGCCCATTTCTCCACCTGTAAAATGGGGAAAGCAAATGACCCATGTATGGCAGTGTTGTAATGAAAGGAACTTATCATCTCATTGATTTTATCCCTTTTCTACCTTCTCTTCACAACCAAGTCCACTTCAAGGTGAGTTTCCAAGTTTCTGAAAACTCCAAAAGGGCGTGACATTCTCCTCAGCAATTCAAGTAGCTCATTTATTTTTCTGTCCTTGTCAGTAAGCCACTGATTCTATTAAGCTGGAAGAAAAGTCAAGTTCTAAGTATTTCACCAGTGTATCTCAGTTAACTGATTCCAGTTGGAGACACAAGAATACTGACATAGTTACTAGACTTGCAGAGCAAAGAAGAAATAACTCAGGCTTTAGGTTCAGGAGGATGGAATCTGAATCCTGGTCCCGTCACTGACTAGTTAGTCACTACCCCACCTGAGCTCCATTTTTGTGCATCTGTAAAAGAGAAATGATATTCAATATGCAGAACTATTGTAAGAATTTGAGATAGTATAATATGTTATTAGATAAATGATACCTGTTCTTATTTTCTGTATTAATCTTAACAATACAAACTTTCAGTGCTCTTTCTGTCTGTTCCTCCCTTAAGTTTTAGTGATATGTTGACTATTGAAAATGAGTATAGTTATGTGAACAAAAATTATTATATATGATAAGTGAAAAAGGTAGTAATCTTTTTTCTTCTAAAAATTATTAAGAATTTTTCAGTTGAATTCCTGGCTGTCTAGTGTTTTATTATGTTCTTTTGATGATACTTCAGTGAGAAAAAGAATAAAAGGGTATAATGAGTCATATAAATTCCTGTGCATTGTAATTATTTTTAATAACACACATAAATTCACTTTCATATTATAGAGACTATTTAAGATATTGAATACCTGCAATTTATTCCTCTGCTCTGGTTTTGATTATATGGCATATAGATTGCACCTATTATAATGTTGTTTACAGTATGCTTTATAAATCTCTTAGCTGAGTTTGCTAAACATAGGTTGTTGGGCCCCATTCCCACAGTTTCTGATTTAGCAAATTTAGGTTGGAGCTCTGCATTTCAAAGAAGTTCTCAGCTGATATTGCTGTTGTGGTCAGCGGACTACTCTGAGAACCACTAAAATTGACTAATGGAAGTTAGTTTTCAAATAATATTATTTTCAACAGAGTTAAAATATATACTCATTTAACTTGAAAAATTAAATTTTTTTCTGTGCATGTCAAATTTTGTGTTTGTCTTTATCTTAAAAGTGTTTTTAAAAATTCCTTTCATGCAAAATCTTGTATGTACTAAGAGAAAGTATAAATCTAACTGCCATTCCCTAGGTTTAGCAAAATTTTGATCTCTGTTCTGTTAGTTTATGACACAAAGAAGAAGCTGAGTCTAGAAATATTCTCTAAAAACTTGTAGTAGAGGAGTTGCCAATTGATGGTTTATCGGTTGTAACATTTTATTTTTGCAGGTCATTTTGCTTTAGTGTAATTTGATGTAGGTCAAATAAAGAATGACTCAATAATAGCTTTAAAATGCATTAAAACTATGCTGTCGAAATAATCATATAGAGTAGAAACTTTAAAGAATAATTAGAAACTGAGTAGTATTAGATTTAAAAATGCTTAAATACCTGTGAAAACAAAATTTTGCAAATGTAATCCTACTCCTCACAGTCTAAGCACACAATAATGGAAGTACACATAAAGGTCAAGAAATTGAACAAATGCATAAGTAAGAAAGGCAGTCTTTGAGTAACTTTAGTTTCCATACTTAGACTGTAAATGTCGATTAGCTCAATCAAGTCTTGTTGATAATGTCAGCTGTCAGTCATTCCTGGATAGTGATGTATGCAGTTTTGTCAGTGGTCAATTAGCTACTGGAGTGATGAATGAAATAATGAGGGCACAGAAGCCTGAACAAAACTTCTCTATTTCTGGTAAATACCTCCTCACATGGGAATTGAAGATAAGGAGAGAAAAAAAAACACATGAATGTTGATGTAGTGTTTATTTAATGCAGTGTCTATCTTAAGCATTTGTCTTTGAGTCTTGAAATTTTAAAAATTAGTGTAAATAGTCAATGATTAATCATAACCATTTCCTAACTGTATTGGTCAGTGCATTAACTGCTGCAAGAGATAAGCCCCCAAGTCGAAGTGCTCTCACTACATAGGTTCATTCTTAACTTGTGGTTGGTATGATTTCTTGGTGTGGCTCTCCTTCAGTCAGTGACTCAGGGATATGGGCAGCCATGCTGTAGGTACACCATCTGGGACATGGTCATCCAAAGTCATTGTGGATGGTGGGGAAGAGAAATGATAAACTATAATGGGATGTTTAAAGGCTAGGACTGGAAATGGCTTACATCCTTTCCACTCACATCCTGTCTTTCAGAATCCAATCACTTTGACTCAGTTTAACTGCAAGGAAGGCACGGAAACGTAGAGAGCCCTTAATAGTCTCTGCTGCACTTAACAAACTTGTTTAAGTAGTCATTTAAATCTATGTTTTTAACTATATCACATCCAGTTAAGCCATGGTTTGAAAACACCAGCTACCAAATTAGCACTTAATATGTATAGGACTAATTACATTATTAATTTGAAAACTTAAGAAAAAATGCATACATATGGTAAAATATTCAAACAGTAAAGAAAGGTAATATAAAAACTAGTGAATTCTCCCATTTACTACATCCATTGGTGACCACTATTAAGAGTCTGTCTCTCAAAATATTTTATACATGTTAGCACTTACCTATATAGATCCTTCTTATTTTATAAAGATAGAACGATTTTGTTTATATGCTATTCTGTGAATTTCTTTTTTAAATTAAAAATGTATCAGAGTGCTAATCCCTATAAGCACATATAAATATTTTAATTTCACAATGATATTAAAAATATTTAACAGCCATTATAGCATAGGCACTGACCAATCAGAATGGATGCTGGGTATAGGGTGGGAGAAAGGTCCTGGGGGTGCAGGGGTACCAAGAATTACTTTAATTAGCACGCAGTGGTGAATAAGCTGGGAAGGGAGTAGCACCCAAAGAAGAGGACAGGATGGTAAAGCGAGGAGAAGACATGGACGACTTTGCTCAGGGCATCAGCTGTTTTCTAAGATGAATACCTTTCTGTATTTAAACAACGAAAAAAAGCAATACCTGTGCACAAGGGTTATAGCAACCTTGTGTGTCCCTCATTCTATAATGTAGTATATAAGAATAGTACCATAATTTAAAAAATAAATATTCTGATGTATGATTAGATAATTTTTAATAACTAATATTTAAGGAATACTGTAGATTACCTTGGCCCAATGTTGGCATAATTATATATCATCAGGTATGTCTTTATTCAGTTTCATGATCAAATGATTAAAGATATATTCCATTCTTGTTTAGTTATCATTTTATAATAGTATTAAAATCATTAGATTTGTTGATTGGATTTAGATTAATTAGTGTGAGTTTGTTTTCTTAACTATAAAACGGAGACACTATAAGCTTCAAAGCAATATTGGCTTGGTTTATTATTCTAGATTAATTTTAGAATAATTTCCTAGGGCTTCTCAAAGTTAAACTGAAGTTTTTATTTGAGTTAAACTAAATGTTTATGTGAAACATCTTAAGAAGTTTGTCAGTAGACTTTGTAGCTGAGTCCATGGACTACTTATATTAAATCAGAAACTATTTTATATCTCTGAATGAAGTGTATTTCTCTTTCTTTAGGCTTAGTATGTTTCTTATTAGTATTCTATATTAGATATTTTATATTCATATTGTTAGATTTAATGGAATATTTTTCTTTTATATCCTCTGATCATTCACTACATATATGAAGTTTGCTGAATTTTATAATTATACTACATTTGCAATGATATGGCCTTTTTACAGTTCCTGTTCCCTTTTCACCTCATACACATCATCTGTGTGTATCATCTATCAATGAAATCACAATATCTGCAATTAATGATAATTTTATCTACTTCATTCCAATACTTAATGTTTATTCACCTTAATTTTTCTACATATTTGTACTCTAGCTTTCTCAATGATGTGATTTTTCACTTATGCTATTCTTTCATGAGACTGAGTCATTGAAGTGCAAGGATATTCAATTTATATTTGTGGTCTGGTAACTAACATAATGCCTGACACATGAGTAAACAATTGTTGAGTGAATGCCTGAGTGAATAATGTTGAACTTCAGGTTCAAAACTGGTCTGTGTAATTCCTTGAATGTTCAATGAAAAACAAAAACAAAATAGAGAAACAGACATGAGTCAAATGGCATGGATGTGGGGTCTGCTAGAAACCCAAGAGGCTCATGTGGCAGGAAGCCAAATAGATATTTTTGCTTCCTAGTCAGGATAGATACAGGGGATGCCTCACTGATACATCAATTAAATGGAGAGTGAGTTAAGTTACCCACCTGTCTTTCATTCTTTGCATATAAGCAGCAAGTCTGTATTTAATCTCCACTGGCTGGCCAGTGAAGGAAGAACACCTTTTATTATTGATCTGGGACAAACAGAGACAGTCAGCAGTTAACTAGATGTGGGACTGGGATTCTGACAAATGGGATCATACTAAAGTCAGATTTAATCAATATCTCATAAAAATATTAAACCTGGAATTTGATTAAGATAGAATGTTTTATAATAAATAAGTAGAGTATGAAATAACATAATGAATTCACAAACTCGTTGAAACTAACATTTGCCACTGATTGCAGCAATTATTAAAATATCCACAGAAATAGTTAATGTTTATTAAGGATTTATTAGGTGTCAAGCATGTGATTAGTGCTTTATAGAGACTATCTCACTCAACCCTCATAGCAACCTGTGAATGAATCAGATATGATTTTGGTTGTATTTTACAGATGGGAAATATGATTTAGAAAGTTTGTTAAATAGCTTGGCCAAATTCATATACCAGTGTGTTTTGGTGATGAATTGCTAGCAAAAGCCAGGATTTTAATCCTGGTTTTTATTTCTCCTGGAGAGCTTTATGATACATACCAATGTCAGAGCCTCACATTCAGAAATTATTACCTAATTGGTCTGGGATGGGACCCAGTGGTATTGGTTATTTTTTAAGACCCTTTTGGTGATTTCAATGTGT